TTAAAGATGCCCCCTTTCACGTGTGGAGGGATGAGCAGACGCTCCGGAGAGAGGCCCTGTGACGCTTCACGGGCTCTGGGCAGCCAGGGTCCCTCATTCCCCTGGCACTGGTGACGAGGCAGACTGAGATGCACATGCTGCCTGCCCCTGGCACCTTGCCACTTCCAGCAACGTCCCTGTGGTGGGCTGACTCGACTCGTCACAGACGGGGAGTAGAAATAAGGAGAGTTTACATCCCCTATTCCAGATGCCCCAGTTTAAAAAATCCCCCGCAACACGTTAACGTGTCCCACCAGCTACAAGATGATCCGAGGGGAGAAGAACCCCTTTGGGGACACGATGGGGCTTTGGGTTCAACACCCCCCGACCTTCTCCGGCCCAGGTGGCTCCGAGAGCTCTGCTGCAGGTTGGGGGGATGCGGATGGCCCTTCTCACCTCCCGGGGCTGTCCCCTCTCTCTGGACCTCCCCACCAGGCTGCTTGCCATGCCTGTCCTCCGACGGCACTTCCTTGCAATTGTTAGGTTCGCACGAGCTCCCGGTCACGAGGGTTTGCATTCATCGGTCAAAACGTAACCGTGTCTCACGTGTGTTTCGTAAAGGCAGCCCGGCACTGCACTGGGCTAAGAATCCGCTTCCTTGGGATATGCTAGGGTTTGCCCCCTTCCGTCTGTAAATTAGAGGCGCAGCCCTGCCCGTGCCTGCCTCGCACAGGTGGGTCGCCGCAGGGGTGGACCCCACTGGCCTCTACGTCGAGCTCAATGCCCAACACTCCAGAATGAAACAGAAAAAGCAAATGACACCCAGAACTCCCTGACTCAGCAGTGGCATCTGGGCCCGGCTTGGGGCAGCAGAATTACAGGGGGGGGAGGCTCTCTCAGTACAGAAGTGTGCGGGGTGTGGCTGTCTCGGGCCAGGGTGCAGAGCCCTCCCACGGAGCTCTGGCACGCTCTGGAAAACATCATCATCTGCCCCCACGGCATGAGGAATGGAAGGCTACCACACCTCCTCGCTCCCGACTTAGCATCGCACGGTCTAGAGCACAGACGTCTGGCATGGAGATGACAGGCACAGGTCGAAATTCGTGGACTGGGTCACCAGGGGAGGGCGGGGTGACAGAAATGTTCCGGAACTAGATAGTGGTTCCAGCCGCACACAACTGACCTGTGCTTTCCACGGACATTCAAACACACAACACATGCCCGCTCACGTGCTACCACACCTGCGCACACAAGATCACACCCTCACACGCCCGCTCACACTCACGCACACCCACTCATACCCTTGCATGCCTGTGCACGCTCTCGCACACCTGTTCACACCCACATGCATTAGCACAACATATGGTTAAACTTGCGCTCACACCCATGCACACTCGCTCACGCTCTCACATAGCCGCTCACGCTCTCGCATGGCCGCTCACGCTCTCGTACACCCGCTCACGCTCTCGCACGGCCGCTCACGCTCTCGTACACCCGCTCACGCTCTTGCATGGCCGCTCACGCTCTCACATACCCACTCATGCTCACACAAATGCTGACACTTCCACACGCTAGCTCACACACGTACGCACTCACACATAAGCACACACGCAGGCTGGCATCCGAGCTGCCTGCACTGGGAGCTGTGCCCACTTTCTCATGGGGAAATACGTTTTGTGACACATTCAGCCATTTCCAAGTTGTCAGTGGTGTCAACTGAGAGATGCGCGTGGACCCCAAGATGAGACTGCAGGGAGGAGGCTGGGGCTCCCTCGGCCTGTGAGATGCCTTGATCCCTGCTGAAGACCTGTGCATAGTGATGAACGTCGGTGTCTCTGCACAGGACAGAGTCGTGACAAGGCCTCGTCAGGCCTGCATTGCATCGGCTCCCTGTAGGACCCACGGCTCCTGCTTGGAGCCCTGGCTGCAGACTGTGGGGTCAGCCCTCCCGTTCGGCCTGGACCAGGCACCCCAAACTACCTCTCAGGAAAGACACTCTGACCCTTCAGACACAGCGCCCCAGGAATGTGGGACAGAACAGCGAACGGTCACCCCCGACACTTAGTGACTCTCCCTCAATGGGACACGCTTCCTGTGAGGGGAGTGGTCTCTCCTCCCTGGAGTCAACTCTAAGGCGGCTTGTTCTAACCGTGTATCCATCTGGGGGTGCCCGCGTTCCACAGAGCATGATGCCTCAGCTGGGAATCTGGAAAACTGGGATCTCGAGACCCTGGCTGCCCATGTGGCCTGGTGTGGCCCCAACACACGATGGGACACGGTAAGGTCTGCAGCAACTACACATCCGGGAGGAAAACGTGCCACCGCAGGGCTGACCCTGCTCCGTGCAGGAGGGCCTGTCGGCGATGGTGGGAATTTGGATTTCTAGAAGGTTCTCCCCACTCTCTAACTGATTAAGAACAGCTGCTTTCCTTCCGGGGGTCTGCGGTTTGGGTGTGAACCAGGGTGAGGGCACGTGTGGGACCAGAGCGTGTGATGACCCTCCGTGCCTGACCACCCTCGTCGTGAGTCGTCATTACTTTCTTCTGGGGGAGCCCAGTCCGCCCCGTGGGACTCCCCTGGAGACGCTGGATTCCGACCTCTCTACCGTTCCCTTTCTCGATTTTGCTGTGTCCTTTTCGCTGTGATAAACCTTAGCTGTGAATCCGACTATCTGCTGAATCCCGGGACTTTCTCAGAGCAAATGGCCGGATCTGGGCGTGGTCTCGGGGACCCCCCAACACAGCACCCTCGCGACGGTGGAGAAAGGAGGTCACGCTGGTGCGGTGGCGGGGTCACTGTGGCGTCTTTAAACTTTTGATGCTGGAGCATTTGCGTCTTGCGAACCTCGAGAACAGTGCTCAGTACGAACCCGGTGTCTTTACCCGGGCGCCTTCCTCCCCAGCCCCCCATCACTTCACGGGCCGTTTTACAGGACGCCGGATTCCTGTTTTGACAACACGAAAACACGAAAACGGAAAACTCACCAGAATGAAACGGAAACTGTTGTTTGGCTTCGCCCGTGTGGGCATCCCAGATGATCGTGGTCTGTGCTCGGCCAACAGAAACGAAAAGTTAGTGGCTGCTCTCCTCGCCGACTTTTCCCGAGAACCCTGCATCCTAACGAGACAAGACGGTGGGCTCCTCCTCCCCAAAACCCTCACCGTCCAAGAGACAGAGCAGGGCCTCACGGGAGGATTTTAGTTGCTGTTTCGCTCCGGTGTGGCCAGAACGTGACCGTTTCGACACGGACGCTCTCGTGTAAAGAAGAAGGGGTCCTAAGTTGTGTGGACTGTAGAAAATTATTAGAGCAGACGCTCGGAGTAGGGAGCCTTCTCTACGTCTCAGGTCACCAATGAATGGCTTCTGTCTGTCTGTCTGGTGGAGGCGCTTAAACTGCGCACTCACAGACCAATCTGGCACTGCGGATAATACATCCAGTCTTTTACGTGTTCTGATGCAATTTCATATCTACATCAATCATCATATCTTTCTGTTCGTGTTTATGTTAAAAATACGCACTGGGCAAAGGAAAACGTCAGAAATCACGATCGATCATTTTGTTGATGTTGACGTTAAACAGACAGACACACTGGGCAAGGGAAAACATCCATTTCACAAAAGGCCTTAAGAACCTGAGATAGAATTCAGCCACTGCAGACTCAGCATTCCCTGAAGTTCAACACCAGCATCCCTGGAAATTACGTTTCCTCCCTGGGTATGACTTTCAAAAATGTTATTACTGCTGCCGTGGCTGACTAATAATGGCAGGTAGACTCGAAGACTAATGGACCTGCAAATGTCCATTTCCGCCGCCCACACGGCTCATTATCTGCTAGAGTAAAAACTGATGAACTGGGACCCGTCACACCCTTGCCTGCCTCCTACCTCGAAGCATCGAACAGGCCAACTCAGTGGGCAACGTGTTCATTAAAGGTTAGTGATCGTGCATTTGTGTGGATTTTTCTGATGAGTCACTCATCGGGATCGATGAGCACCTACATACAAGACAAAGTGCTGTCATGTGCTTAATCACTGACTTAGAGCATCTTGGGGGAAAATTCGGTGGTACTTTTGTGAGAATCTCCACGGTGTCAACCACAGCATCTCAGCTTGTTAAGTATTCAATGTTAGGCTGCCAAGTCTAAATGTTGGCTTAAAAAACAGAGAGACGAAGTTGAATGATCTGCAGACCTAGAGGGTTATCTATGTGCACATACTTTTTGCAAGGGGCCAGAGAGCAAATCTTTTGGCTTTGAGGGCCATCCCTGAACCATGTGCCTCAAACAAATGGGGGGAAGCTTTGTACGAAGGTCTGTAAAGTAGTATAATATATTAAGAGATGATGTGTTATCAATGAAAGCTAAGATCAGAACCCCCAAAACCAGATGTTGTCTTGATTTCTTAAGGGAAAGCATAAAGCCTTAGCATTCGAAGAAACTACAACGTTATCTAAAGGTGACACATAAACAAACATCCATCGATGAAAGCAGCTGTTTGAAGCTCATACTCACTTTGTCTACACCGGCGCTCAGAATGTAATTACCCTTTTTGTTCCATTTTAAGGCAAAAATGGGGCCTTTATGTTGGCCTAGGGTGCTGGCCAGGTTACCTGCGGAACGAAGAAACAAAAAGCAAGCACGTCGACTTCAAAGTCATGCTCTGTTTGCTCCGTGATCACACAGCGGGGCGCCTCCCTCGCCACCCCAACACGCGGGAGGCACGACTCACCATCTTCCGTCCATATTCTTGCAAAACCATCATAGGAACCTGTAGCCAACAGTGTCCCATCGCTCTGTGGGCCAGAGAGAGACAGAGAGCGACAGGAGCAGCTTAGTAGGGCAGTGGTGACAACGCCGAGAACCCTGTCGCCTGACCCCCGGGCTGGAATGCTCGCGGTCAGCCACGGGGTCTCAGAGAGGAGACTCGATCGGTCCCTCGGCCACCTTCACTCACACTCCTCCGAAATTACAACGGGAGGCCTCGCACCCGGGCAGGCGGGGGAGCAAGGGCAACACGTCGCAACGGTGCACCCCGCTGACATCATGAGGAGGAACACAATATGCAAAGCTAAAATGGCACTCTGAGACTTTAGTGAGCTTTTAAAACTATGTCTGCACATGGGAGAGTCTGTCATGAAATGCTGGTAGAGGAACAGCACACTGACTGAGACAGAAAGTCAGAAGCGGTCACAGAGCGCCGTGTCCCACGTGTAAACGCATGTGACACCTGCCGCGGAATCATCCAGGTGGAACGCCGCCTGTGCTGGGCTGCACGTCGCCTCTCCCCGGCGGAGCAGGCTCCCTCCCCGAAAACCCGGCCTCATCTCGCAGACGCGGAATCACGCCGGGAAGGACCCCCAGCTGGCCGTCCACCCCACGCGCAGCCCGACACGGGCGCCCCTCGCCCAGGCGACAGGCGGGTTTTCCAGGCGGCGAGGCGCCTGGGAGGCGGCGCGCGCTTACGTTCCAGTCCAGCGAGGTGACGTCTTTGTTACTGGGGACGTCGTGCCCCCCTTCCCGTATACAGTGCCTCAGCACGAGCTGCGTGGAGCCGCCGTTGCTGTTTTCGTTGAGGTTCCATATCCTCGCGGTGGAATCTCCCGATCTGGGGAAGAGAATCGCACGCACAGTCGGCCTTGCGTTCAAGGAGTCGGAGCCCCACGCCCGGCTGGGTCGAGCTCCTTCGCAGGTGGCTGTCCCCCTTTCTGACGCCCCTCAGGCACATTGTTTCCCACCCCCCTCCATCTTTGTGCGCCGGGCCACTTGACTGTTTTATTTTCCCAGGTGCAATGCCCCCTTTTGAAACATTTTCATTTTTTCCAGCGACAGGTGACATACAATATCACATGAGCTTCGGGTGTGCGGCGAGGCATTTTAAATGTCTGCGGGCGACCCCACGCCACCGGGAAACCGGCTTGCACTGAGGACGGCCCCACGGGCGGAGAGGAGGGACGTGTGTGTCCCACGAGCCGGAGCCGCGGGGACCTCGCATGCACCTCGCACGGGGGAGGGGGGTCCCCCAGCCTGCCGTCCTTACCCGGAAGCCAGCAGATCACTGACGGGGTTCCAGGCACAGATGAACACCTCGGACTCGTGGCCCCGGAGGACGGTGGCCTTGCTGGGCGGAATCTCAACGTCCCCGTCTATGTCCATGGGTTTCGAATGATTATCTGCAGCAGGGGAATAAGGAAGGACGCGTGGCTGACCGATGCAGGGGGGACCCGGTGCTCGGGCATTTTCCCTCTTAGAAACTCCTTAGCGTGTGATTGAAACCCGTCATCTTACCTCTGGGATCACACTAAATCACGGCTTTTGTGAAATTTAACTAAATATGTCACATTTACTTTGACAGTTTCTCAATCTGACAGAGGAATAAAAAGTTACTTAATCTTTATAAGCAAGGCCATGCTCATGTCTGCCAACCATCAGAACAAGAGCGGACACAGGTGACAGCCACCACCTGGCTCCTGAGCAGAGCCGGAGGTTCCCGTTGCCTTGGTGGAACGAGAGGCTTTATGTGGGAGCACCTTTCTGAGGTGTCACCTCTTTATCTGGGATACTCCCATCGGTAGCTGCCATCACTGTCAGAATGTCCGCCACCCCACCCCTGCCTCCAAACAGCCTCGTATTCTTGGGATTCGAAGGCCATTTTTTATCGGAGCCACTTTCGTTTGTCACTTCCCAAGCAGAACCCCCATGGGGGTGCCAGGGAGGAGATGCTGGCTCTCCGAGTGAGACACGCAGCCCGTAGGCACCCCTGTAAGGCGTGCTGGCTACGTGTCCCGAGCTGCTGGCACTCATGAGGGTACACCCCCTCCTCTACGTGGCCACCTCCCGTCACTTTCTTAAGATTCAAAAGAAATCCGTACAACTTGAAAGTTTGCAAAATTTCTGTCCTGACAGACACAGATTTCTTCAAGTTCACCAATTACAAACTACTTTCTGTGACGGACGATTAGGAAAACAATGATGTTTATTTTTTTCCTGTTTAATCTGGAAAACTCGAGGGTGGTACCCCACGTGTGAGGACAGCCAATAAACCACCTGCGTGTGGTCCAACACACGCATTTTCCTTTTCCCGCCCACCATCCTGGATTATGGAGCCGCTGGTGGGAAGCCTCCTCATTGTCTTAGACACGGCTTTTACGTCACCCTCCTGTTATTGATCCGCATCACTGCCTACATAGGGTTTCCACCCCATACTAGATCTGACTCTGCAGCCAGAGAGAGTCGCAGAATTCATTAGCACGTGCCTGAGCGTCACAGCCTGCCACAGGGCTGGGCTGCGGGCTGCGGCCTCATCTGAGGTGGCCGGCCAGCTCTAAGTGAGGGAAGCCACGTGTCACATGTCAACACCACACCCACCTCGAGCCTCGGGGACACCTGGGGCTGCACGGCTATTCAGATGGACATACTTTTCAAATATGGGAAAACACGCACATGCATGCACAGGTGCACACAGGCACACGCACACTCACACGCACACGTGTGCATAACACACAGGCACACACGCACACGCACACTTTGAAATTTGATCTTAGAGCCCGAAGCGGTCTGCCTGAATCCATAAGCAGCACGTGAAGGCGGACTCGGGCTCTCTGGGTAAAGGTTCGGGCCGTCTGACTTAACTGTCACGTACTTTCGGGCAATTGCCTACCGTTCAGCAACCACCCGAACACCAAGGGAGACGGTGCCAGCTGCCTGGGGCCACTTGGTAGCC